GATGTTAGTCGTGAGTGGTGTCCGGAGGTGGAGGGTGTTGTTGATGAAGAGCAAGAAGAAGCAGCGGCGGCAGCAGCCACCCTGGCCGAGGCGGTGGCGGCCGCCACCTGCTGGATGTAGCTCAGATTGTTCCTCGCAAGGGTGGCGCCGAGCCCTCCCGCCCCTGCCCCTACCCCGCCGGTAGCTCCGAGCCCTCCTCCCCCTGCCCCCGCCCCGCTGGAAGCGGTGGCCGCTGCCGCAGCCGCTGCCGTCTGGGCTGGGGCTGCCACCAGGCCCGCGGATAAACCTTGGTTAGACCCCTGGGGAGAAAAGGAGAAACGAGAAGAAGGTGGTAAGCCCTCCCCTGTATTAACAAAGGTCCACAAATCAAAATCGAAAAAATCAAAATCAAGATCGGTTCTGTTGGCCGGGAGTAAGGCCGGGAGAAAGAAATTTGATTTTTGATTTTGCTGTCTTGATTATAAAAAAAAAACTCCGAGGGCCGTTTTTGTCGAAGTCAGGAAATAAAACTGAGCTCTGCCGGAAACCCCGAACGGCGTTATTTTCTTCGACCAATCACAGCTCAATTTTGACTTTCGATTACTATTTTTGGGCCTTCGTTAAAATGGGACCTTATATCTCGAATGGGTAGTCGATGTGTGATTGTTAGTACATGTTCTTAGGTCAGAGGTACGGTAGCGGTCCCGGTACAACGCCGGTGAAATCGTCCGGCACGGATGGAATATTCTAGAAGTTTATTCATACTCTGACAAACGTCGGTTGCCCGCTTCAAGGGGCTGGATGGCACCTACCGGCGTTGTATGCATAGCGGGAACCACTACTATAATACTGCACTCATTGCCCTAGCCGTGGCAAGAAGGGAGGAGGCGACGACGGCGGTGGCTACGCTAGAGTTTGTGCGAACTTCTGCCTCCTGTAGGCAGCCAATCATCAGGCGTATATATCCCCCCCCGAAATAAAGCTGCCTGGGTTGGGAACGAACGCATCCATGAACCTTCTCCCGAGAGATGGAGGCAGGCACGCGTTATTCGGGTACGACCCCCCCCCCCCCTCCCCCTGCCAACTTTGGCAAAGCAGGAAGGAACGATTGGCCATCCATCGGTGATCAGTCCTGCGGGAACAACGCTCCGTCCCCTCTCGAGGACGCGTGGTCAAAGGTCTAACCACTTTAGGGCATGCAAAACATGAAAAGTACGCCCTCCCCGCCTAGCCTGTTCCGGTGAAAGCCCGGCGAACTCCGTCCCGGCTTTGTACGGACGCGAGGTCAATGGTCTAACGACTACGGCATCAGACGGCATGCGCGGCTGATAGTACAACCCCCCCCCCCCCCCTTGACACGCACGCGAGCCGAAACAGAAACTCGGTCAACAATTCGCAGAGGTCACCATCGGAGCCAACGTCGCAAGAGGCCTGCCGGCGCCCCCAAGCCTCCCGCCGCCGCCGCCGCCGCCACCAGCACCGAGGTTGCTGTTCTCAACCGCCATGGCGTCGGTCTTAACTAGCCCCCCACCCCCCAAAAATACGCCTCCCACCGGAACCCCCCCTGCCCCTCCACCTCCTGCTCCTGCTCCGAGCTGCACGAAATCTGGACAAGACTTGAAGGTCCGTTTCAGCGAACCTTTTGTTACGGCGTAAAAGGGAAGAAGGGGAGATACAGAAGGAGGCGAGGGGGAGTGTGTACTCATGTAACGCATGCCGTAGTCGTTAGACGACCATTGACCTCGCATCCTTACAATGCCGGGATGGAGCGATATGCCGGGTTTTTGCCGGCCCAGGCTATCTACAATAAGTTTTACAAGGATGAGCCAGAAGCTGATAGTGTCATCATCCTTGCATTTGCTGTGCCACACCAGATATGCCATGGGTTGTTGACTGTGTTTGTGAGTAGAATGAAAGGGTAGCATTTTTAGGAGGAGAGAGACTTGGGGTAGAATCTGTCTCCGGCAGGAAGTACAGGGAGACGGCAGTGCTCTCGTCTGGAACGAACAGGATGGAAGGGTAAGCGGCCACCCAAACAACATCGGCAAGCAAAAGCCACAACCACCCCACGTCGTAAATAATTCGGTAACAACACCTATTTAGGCAGGTACCCTCCTCCCCTCCCCAAAAAACAAGCCGTGTCTCACCTTCTCAGCAGCCTTCACAATCTCAGCAAGCATGTTGGACAACGCATGCGATAGGGTTTTGGGACAGGGGCTGCGTACCCCCTCCCCTGTTGTACTTGCTCATTCTCGCGAAAGGCGGTCCCACCTTCTTCCTTCGGCTCGACGGATGGGTGACCCTGGAACATCACCCCCTCCACCACGCCGTACATCTCGTCCAACTCCACCGCGTCAAACCCGCCGCCGCCGCCGCCGCCGCCGCTATCTACTTCGTCCCCGGACATGAGCATCGACGCCGCCGTCCCAAAACCTCCGCCACCGGGGGGCGGGGGGGCGCCTGCTGCTGCTGCTGCTGCTGCTGCTACCGCTACGTCCATTCCTGTGAGATCTCTCTGGTAATCGTCGAAGTCTTGGAGCTCCGAAACAGAGTTGTTGCGCGATCTGGTCGAGGGGGGGGGGGATACGTGGATGTGTGGGTGTGATAGGGCAGTTCGGCAGCGGGGACCCCGGCGGGGCACTTCGTGACGCGAGCTGCTCTATGTAAGGACGGGTGTGAGGCTGGGGGGGGGGGGGGGCCCCCCCCAAAAAGGGGTTGGGGAATTTAAGGGGGGGGGCCCCCGGGGGGGCCTTTTTTTTGCGAGCTTTTTCGGGGTCCGGGGCCCCCCAAAGGGGGGAAGGAATTTTTTTTTTTAAAGCACTTTGGGAGAGGGGGCCCCCCCCGGGGGGCCCCCCCTCCCCCCCCTCCCTTTTTCTAATTTTAAAAGGGGCCAAAAGGGGCCGGGGGGCTTAAACCGTTTTCTCTGCGGGGGGGGCTTAAAACCCGCCCCCCAAAAAAAAAAAAAAAAAAGGGGAATTTCCCCCTTTTTTTCCCCCTCCCTTTAGGGGGGGGGGGGCCGCGGATCCCGGGGAGGGCCCCCCCAAAAAAGATACACTTGGGGGGGGGAGGGGAATTTTTCAACCCACCGGGGGGGTTTTTTTTTTTTCTCCGACGGGGGGGGGGGGGGGGGGGGGGGGGGGGGGGGG